AAAAGAAAAAGAAAAAGGGCTAGCCAGATAGCTCAGCAAATTAAAAGTGCCTGCTTAGGCACACTCAGGGGTCAGAGGTTCAATCACTGGCCTGCCATGCCAGCCTGGCCCCCAGGGGCATGCTAAGAGGAGGAATGAGACTGGGCGTGGTGTCACACACCTATAATCCCAGGACCTGGGAGGCTGAAAACAGGAAGATTACTACAAGTTGGACCTGTGTAGTGAGACCCTACAGACTCTACACACACAAAAAAAGAAAGAAAAAGAAAAGAAAACCAACTTCGAAGAGAGGCACTTAATGAAAAAGCTGCCTTAACTGAATGTTAACTCTGGACCTGGTGTTGACCGATATTCCCACCAACTCTGTGCTGCTGTGACCCTGGTGTCTATACCCACACAACATCCCCAAGATCAGAGAATGAGGGCTTGATTAATGGACTCAGAGAGGTAGCTCTCCACTTGACATCTTAATCTGTCCTCTACTTGATTCATTTCAATAAACACATGTTGTCTCCCACTTTGCCAAGGGAAATGCTTGGCCAGGTTGGAAAGGTATGAAATGCTGCTTTCTGGTCACATATGGCCCTGTGCTGTGCTTTCTATAGTTATTATTATTTCGGAAGGCAAACCTCTTATTTTGAGGGACAGCCTTAACTGCTCAGCCTTAACTTGCTGACACCTCTCAGCCAACTGCATTGTCACCGGGAATTTCTTCTGTCTTGTTCTCCACACCAACTGACCTGGTTTTCCTTTCCACACTCTCACTCTGCTACCCCAGACCATACGCTGGGCATTAGGCTCATGCGCACACGCATTAAGCCCCTCCTATGACTGCTGGGCTACACAGAACAGGGACGGAGAAAGTTGGAGCACTTGGAGATTAGACCTTACCTTTCACAGCAGATGTTTCTGCATTTATTTTCCCACAGGAGGACAGTAAATGCAAATCATTCATTTGAGCAATTTCCATCCACTTTGGACGGTCCCCATCCTCTTGCTGTGAAATGTGCTCAGCTCTTCAACCAAATTGCATGGGATGGTTGTGAAGGCAGAAAACCTAGTTTGCATACTTCAAATTAGAAGAAGACATTAAGGTATTCAGGAATCAGAGGCTCACACCACCCAAGTAACAAAGACTTGGGCCCTGGGGCAGGGCAAACAGTGAGCCTTACCAGTTCTGACACCTGAAAGAGGCAGGAGGCAGAATGGCGCTTATAAAAAATGTATAGATCATTATAAGATGTTTTGAAATTTTAAGCTGAGCATCTTTTTTAGGCAGGTGTTTGAGAGATCAGAATTTAAAAGAGCCCACCTCCATCCAGGCCTGCTCAGGCCCACTTCTGGTTTTAAGGAAGGGGAGGAATCCTAATTAGGTTTTTCCTCCCTGGGTGTGGAGCTACCTTCCACAGTTGACTTCCTCAGCAAGTTCCGTTTCTCTGGAACTCCTAGGCAAGCAGAAATCTCCGGAAACTGAAACCGTGAAACCTACAGAGCTCCCTGAGGACAAGGGACCACCCAGAACCTCGCTAAAGCCAGTGATAACTGACCAAATTACATGTCAGGAAAACAGTGTTTGGTAAGTGATCATTTCTGAGGTCTCAAAATGTTTTCACTTGACGGAGGACATTTGGATTCAAGTTTTCTGGTTTTTGCGTCTGGTTTAGAGAAAAATGTGTGGTATAATTTCCTCCGCAGGAGATGGTATTAAAAAAATGGACTGTTCTTTGAGCCTGGAGGAAGGCATAGTCTGAGCCTTACCACTGCCCACTCCTCTGCCCACAGCTGTTCCAGGTATTCCCAGAGACTCTGAACCACCTTTAAGATCAGACAGCCACGTCACAAATATTTACCCCAGGATCTGCCCTCCAGAAGTGGAGTTGCACAGAGTTTGTTGACAAGGATTTTTAATTGAGTTAATAAAGTTTCACTGTGCTTCTCTGTGGAGTCAAAAGTCCTGACATCCTCTGTTTCTAATTAAAGCTATGTGGGCAGAAGATAGCCAGCCCCTTCCTGTTACCTCTGTGTACAAAGTGTGCCTAATGACATCTCAGTCTGCCTGCCACCCATTTTCTGGGAAGTTTTAAATAGACCACCTAATCTCTGTGCAACCAGAGAGGAATATACACCTCACAAAAGGGTGCCCTGTGGTATTTCATTGGTTGGTGATATTGAGTGGTACTAAAAATGCATTAGAAGCAAAGCTTGGGTTGTCAAAATGCCCATCTGTCACCATAAGCAGATTTATTTCACAGTACTGCAGGTCTTTTGAACTAAATCAAATAACTGCAAGAAGTCTCTCAAGTACAAAGGAGAAGGTCCAAGTAATAACTTGATCCAAATGGGGAGTTAACTACCTTCTGGGAACAAAGTGTTTTTCTACCGGGCTGCAGAGCCTCTCCTTGCACGGCTCTTGCAGGCCATACACTCTCCTGGGAACGTGTTTCTACACTCCCCCTTGTGCCTCTTCTCCAAAGCTGTACACCAACAGTAGTCGTAGTTTAGTGCAGTAGTTTCAAGGCCAGACCAATTTTTCCAAATGAATCAAGGTGTTCAGTTAATGGGCAGTTTTCAGACCTATTAGCTGCAAATGTTGAGAGCAATAAAGAGAGGAGCTAGCATTTCCTGAGCACTTACTCTCAGAAGGCAGCTGCTGAGAGGCTGCAGGTTAGTTCATTAAATCCAAGTGAACTCACTGCAGCAGAAACTCAGTGCCCCCCTTTCTGAGAAGAAACTGAGATCTTAGGAATGAAGCAATTTTTCCCAAAGCTGTGTTGCTTATAGATGACAGAACTGGTAAGTGAACCCGGGCAGTGTGACTTTAAGCTAGTTTGAACCACATACTACGCTACCTCTGAGCTTCCTGTATTTGATTCCGGAACCCTGCCCAGACTAGAATTCTACTTCACTGGCCATTCTAGACCTGGACACCTATAGTCATATGAGAAATAATAATTCTATCTCCCTTCTTTTTTCAGCAGTCCTATCTTGCAGCCACACAGGAGAACTTATGTTAAAGATAGGCTCTCCTTGAGTGAGGAAAGAATGAGAAGATACTTCATACTAAGCTGAGGAGGATCTGAAAGGGTAAGACATTTCAATATTTTGAAATTTATGAGTCCCCCAGTGTTGATAGTGGTCACATTAGGTATTTTGTTTAGGATTCTTGTCAGACTCAAACACAGGTCATACGTCATATCCCCGAGGGTGACTCAACAGAAATGCGCTCAGAGCTTCTCACATTTAAGACACTAGGAAAAGAGCTCATCTCCTTTGGGGTGCTAATGGGAGCCCCCAAACTGTTCCCTAGGGTCCCAGGTGACTATATTGTCACATTTTCCTAAGAATAACTTTTTTAAAAAGTATTTCTTTCCAGAAAGAGGCTAAAAACAAAGAGAAAGTAGTTTATCTGCTCTGGATCCAACTGAATCAGGATTGAAACCTGTTATGATTCTAGCTCCTTCTGCTCTGAAACAAAACTGCTCCAACTGGCAGAGATCTGGCTGGACTGACAGAATGGCAAGAGAGGAGACACTGGCCCAGAAAGAGTAAAAAGGGGACTATCCCTGTAGTAGCTGCACACCCAGGCTTGCCTAGGTTATTTGACAATTTTTACTGATAAGTTGTTGCTTTCTGGGTTTTGTTTGATAATTCATGAACCCAGAGCTTATGTTAGAGTAAATATTGTGTTTCTGTGGTTTTGTAGATGGCTGTACATACTCAGAAAGTCCTGGAAACCATGCAACCAGGGTGGCTGGCCACCCCAAAGGAGAACTATCCCAAATCCCAGATTCCACTGAAGGATATTGAAGCAAAGGTTGTCTGAGAGCTGTGTGTGTGTGTGTGTGTGTGTGTGTGTGTGTGTGTGTTTGCACGCGCGCACGCACATGCACACGTACACACACACTAGCACATCTGTATGCTTAACTGGAGAGCCCTGCTCACAGAGTCTGTAGGAAGGTTTTTGCCCAAAGCCGCCAGCCCTCCCTGCAGCAAACAATCTGCCTACCACATCCTGCCTCTCCACTTCCTCCTCTCCTTTCCCAGCTCAAGAAGCCAAGATGGGAAGTCTCTCACGACCCTGTGGCTTGGCCAGGAGGAAGCCTGAACTTGATACAGCTGACTTGCCCAGGGCCTGGTAAGAACATTTATATCAAGTCTATGTTCCTTCACTTAACTATTTTTAAACTGGGGTGCAGACCTCTCTGAGGGCTCAGAGAGACGTCTCTGGGGAGGCTGTCCCAGGCCAGGTATGGGACCTGATATGCCAGTAGGGGCTGCCACACACCTGAATGGGGATTCAGGTGGTGGTTAGCTGTGATTTGCTTTAAAAGAGACAAAGAAACAGACTTCAACAACTCCCTCTTCACCCCTAAAGAATGAAGGAGGGTAAATAAAGACATGCAACCTGGAAATCCAGGCACACAGCAGTGGCAGCACAGCAGGAAGGATAGTAAGTGGCAGCATCTGGTCATGGTGCACTCAGGCAAGGCCTGGGCAGAGCTGCCACCCCACCCTGGACTCTTCCTTGGGAGCCACACCTTACCACCCAGCCTGCTCTAGTGCCCCAGGGCTTTGCACCTGCTGCTTCTGCAGGACTGTCCCACTTAGTTGCTCCATGTTTTTCAAGCCCAGCCCATGTGTCATGGAGCATTTCCACCTCAAAACAATTGATGTGCGGCTGTCATGCTCCCCCGACTGGGACAGGTGGGGAGAGAAGCCACGTCTTAGTCGTCTTTATGCCACAGCAGGGACATGATGGAGATAGGTGTGGAAGTCTGGTCAGGACCAGCTTGGGAAGCATTGCAAGTAATGCTGGGTAACAAGCGCTCAGTAAAAGTGAGGAAATAAACTATCAAGACTTGTGTGCAACACAATTATGTGCAACAAAAGATGTCATAAATGGGCACGAAAATAAGAATATGTTAATTTATTTTCCTGGTTACATTTGGTTGTACTTTCAGTAATAAAGCTTGTTAATTTAATAAAAATTGTAAGTCAGGGGGCCAAGTGTTACCCAAGTGAAATTAAAATGTAATTGTAAAATGCTGACAATATCTTCTGTGACTTGTCACCGATGTCAAATATACTCAGGTAGAATATCATATCTGAAATAATCAGATTTGACTTGGGAATTTAAAAGGAGAACCAGAATTAATAAGCTGGCCATGAGATCTGCATGAGGCAAATCACTGCCAGTTACTCAAAAATGGTATTTTGGCCATGTTCCCAAGTTCACAACTTGCTAGATGGTCACATGCACTGCTGCATGGGGCTGAGCAGGACACAGCTGGACCAGAGCTGGAGGAGGAAGGCAGCCAGGAGCAGCTCAAGTGGAGACCAAGTAGAGAGACAGTGGCAGACAATGGTCAAAACTTTCACTGCCCTGTTGTGCCCTTCCTGTTCCCTTGGGCACCTGGCCAGAAGAGCTGGCCCTGAATCCCACCCTCCAATTGCAACTTCCTCTGACAACAGAGAAGTTTCTTTCTCTTTCTCCAGGACACTATGCTGAATTTTCCTTCTCCATCTAGCTTCTTTTTTAAAAATCTTTTATTTATTTATGTATTTATTTGGCACAGGGTCTTGCTACACAGCTCAGACTTGTAGGATCCTCCTGTCTCAGCCTCCCCAGCCCTGGGATTACAGGCATGCACCACACCGTTTTGGTGGCTGGCTTGGTGCCCAGGGATGGCGAGGCATACAGGATCAGGGATCAAACCCTGCTCTTTCCAGGCAGGTGCTTAGACCACTGAGCTATCTCTCCAACTCTGCCTAGTTCCTTTGAGTAGCTGACTCCCCTTGTTTATCTCCTTTCTTTGAATTACACTTCCCTAAGAGCTACTTTTCTGATCATTTTGTTGACTCCCAGTCAACAGAAGTAGTGAGCTCGGCCCAGGTCCCCAGGAGCTCGCCATTGGTGACCTGTGTGTCCTGAGTCTCCACTTAACAAAGGAGAATAAGACAGGCATGAGGAGGAACTGCACAGTGACAACAGACACCAGCATTTTGACACCAAACCAAAGTAAGGAGCCAAGTTTGCAGGACAGGTGACCAGGTAAGCTCAGATTATACAGAGGACTGAGAAGAATCCCAGCATAAAGTACAGTAGCGATGTACCTGTCCAGAGTTGTGGCTGACCCCATAACTGGGAACAGCCCTTCAGAAACCATAGGCTGCCTCAGTCATGAGTCTAGTTCTATTGCTAGCCCAGGATGACTGGACTGAGGGACTGAGAGTTCTGATGCCCCACAGAAAGAAGCAGAGTTCTACAGAGTTTTGGAAAGTTCCCCACACCAGTGATCCATAACCCAAGGGTGTAATCAGAATTCCCTAAGGAGTGTTTTCAAAATGTCCAAGCTAGAATTTACTCTGAGCCCAAGAGCCAGAACCTCAGGTGAGTTTGGCATGAGGTAGGCAGGCATGTGTGTCTTTACGGTACTGCCCAGAGGATTTGAATGTAACTATTCTCTGTACTCTGCTCAAGGAGGGCATCACCTGGGCCCTGACATTTTTGAGGCTAGACAGCATGTTGTTTGTCTCAAACTTAGCACAGTTCATAATGCATGATAAGCCTACTGAAAGTAAATATTTGCCTGTTCGTCGTATTACAGTGATCCATGCATTCTCATGTTTATAGCAACACTAATCATAGTAGCTAAATCTTGGAAGTGGTCTAAATGTCCATCAACAGATGCATGAATACAGAACATGTGGTATTTATACACAATGGAGTACTGCCTTGCCATAAAGAAGTGTAAATTTGAGTCATTTGTAGGAAAATGGATGCAACTTGAGGCAATAATGTTAAGTGAAATAAATCAGACACACAAGCTTAAATATCACATGGTTTCTCTTACACAAGAAACCCAAACTAAAAAAGTCAAAGCGCAAAACCAAAGACAGGATACTCATTCATTTTCTAAGTGAAGATTTGTGTAAGAGAAGGACAAGAACTGTATGCCTATCTGTACAGTGATAATAAAAGCTAAATTCTCAGTGAACAAAAAGAAAAAGAAATAGGGGGATAAATCTTTTCTAGGGAGGAGAGCAAGAGATGGAAGGAAGAGCAAGGGAAGAGAGGGGCAGGGGAAGTAAATTTAAGGTCTATCATGTACATGTACCAACCCTGTGCTGACTCTAATCATTATGTACTGCAAACATGTACTAATAAAAATAAATTTAAAGAAAGTAAAAAGATGTGTCTACTGAATGAATGAGCAAAGTCTATTCTTTTCAAAACTGAAAGAATAGACTTTCCCTTCCTGGGTTTTCTATCTAGATGTAGCCATGCCTTCCAGACACTCATTCAGAATAACAGTTAAATATTATAACACCACTTGATCATCTCATCAACTGGTACAGCTCAGCAATATCTGGCATTACCAAACAACACTAGAATTTATATTAACATTACAGATGAGAGTATGAAATGAAAGAAGCCATTCCACCTAATACAATTAGTATACGATCTCAGGCTTAATTATGGTTTTGAAAACAATGAGGATCATCATTACAGGTCCAAAGCCCAAAATGGAATCTGCAAGTGTTTGACAAGTAGAACATAAGGATGATGGAATGGTTTGCCCATAGGCCTGACCACAGGGCAACCCTCATGAGTCATGATTTCAGGTCACAGTAGGATTTTTCATTATCCTCCATTCTTCCACAGTAAATATATTGAGCGCTGGGCCAGTTGATGGATGTGAATTGGCTTGTGAGTTCAGGCTGGCCTGCTGTCTTCATGCAACCTCTATATAGCATAGCCATGCAAATCAGCGTGGGCCTCAGGCCAGACAAAATTAATCCAGGACTAAAAGCAATCAAGTAAAAGGTGTCAAAGGGCAAAAGAAGAGGAAAATGCGACTGGGAGAAATGATGCTTTATTTTTCAAGATTCTGTAAGTTATTGCCTTGTGACTTTTTCTTTTGTCATAAGAAAACTCACAGGTGTAGGGACGACGGGTAGAAGTGCTTCCACATGTTTCTGAGATAGAAAGAAAAGTTCACATTTGAAGTTGAATTAAGAAATTTAGAGAAGTGATCTCTGACATCAAATGTAAAATCGCATTCCATGACAGCTCCTTTATATTGATCGTCTCCTGTCTCAGAACACCTGGATACCGCTTGCCATGGTCCACCATTTTTATTCTTTTGTTTTATGGACAAAGAATCGTGTCTGTCCTGCTAGCTTCTGATTCCCAGGATGTGGTATTCACATTCAATAAATGCTCATTAAGTAAATGAGAGGACACTTTATTGATCTAGAAACAGCTTTCATGCTCAATAAAAACAAGCCATAGAACTGTCATGGTCCCTTGGCCCAGACTCTGCCGTATGCTCTTTCTTGCCATTCTCACTAACTTCCCTTTCTACCCACTTCTAAAACTTACTTGCAAAGGATAGAACGGGCCAGGAATTAGTATCTTTACTATATGTAGAACTCATACAAATCAATCCAAAACAAGAAATAGCCCAATACAATTGGGAAATGATAAAGGCTCCTCACAAATAAGAAAAAATACATGAAAAGATATTTACCTTCAATAATAAATATAATAATAAAAAGAATAATTAAAATACATGTGCATGTGTGTGTTGGCCTATCAAATAAAGAAAGCAAGAAAACCAAGTGTTTGGTGGCATTGGAAAATAGCCGTCCTCTCACATAGATGCTTGGGATGTGTACTGACACAACCATCTGGAAAGAAGTGTAGAGATACAGTCCAAGATTTGAAATGTGTATATTTGTCATTAGCCTAAGGTTCCAAATCAATGAATTTATTTATTTTAAGTGTGCTAAAATCAACCATGTGAACCATTTTGTAGATGTATATAAAATAATTTTATTTTAGTATTATTTTTTTAAAATAATTTGTTTACATATCTAGGCCTAGGTATTTATCTACAAGCATATCTCAGACATACTTTTTTAAGTTAAAGTAACTCTAATTTTACACGTTTCCAATAAGATAAAACATGTTAATATTTTTAAGAGTACAGTTTAGTGGCATCAAGTAGATTCACACTGCTGTACAACCATCACTACCCATGAAACACCAACTCTTCACGGTTCCTTCCTCCCAAACCCCGCACCCACCATTTTACTCTCTGTCTCTGTGAATTCAATTTTAAGAAGATACAAATATACGATTAAAGTATATGTACAAAAGATGTATTTCTTCATTGAAGAATATCTTTCCTGAGTCCTACTATATGCTAGTCTTATGCACAAGCAGTAAAGCTTTAAAGAAAACAAATAGATCACCATGATGGTGATTTCAAGGGATACTGTAGATTTCACACTAAGGAAAAGTACCTCTCGGGCCTCTCAGGCTCTGCTTACTGTAGGGTATAGGGAACAAATTAGAAACAACTGAACTTCTAGGCAACCTCCCTGCTAAGGTAGAGTCCACTTGGTCAGATGTCAGGCCTGGACCGTTCACTGTGGAGAGCCACAGCCTTTCCCAAAATGAGCTCCATGGATTCACTGTGCCTCTTGCGCAGTATTTTCCTGGAGAGGAAGAGTTTTCAACATTTTGCAGCAGAAAATAATTTAGCAGGGGTCTGTGCCAATGCTTCTTTATTCTGCAAAGGAATGTGTAGATGACAGTTGCAAGTGTTTGATGTTCAACCCTCCCAAAACTGTAAAATAGCAGCAGGGCGAGCAAGAGGCTGATTTAAATCTTCTTTTTGTGGTTTTAGTTTTGTTCTGGCAGGCTTAACAACACTGGGAAAAAATTACAGTGTGTGCATGGGAAACATATTCTTCCCTCCTTGACTAACTGACATACTGGAGAGCAGGCGCAAGCAAAGGGCGGTGGCCCTGCTAGTGATAGAGCTGGAATACATGGAAAAATTTAAATAGCATCAGGGACCTGGCCTACCCTTAGTCCAGGCAGGAAATTCAAGGGTAATATAACGCTCTGCTGCTAAGTAATGCCCCTGGAATAAAAGCATGTTCAGGATGACTTTTGGCTTTCACTGGGAATTTCTGTTTCATTTGCTTCCAAAAAGAACTTTTTTATCCTCCCTAAAGTTCTTAACTCGTATTTCAAAAGTGCTTGTCGCTATATAAACATGATATATACACCAGCCTTGAATTAAAGCTGTATGATGCAGAATATGCTGAAAAAGAAATTCAGGATTTCAGTTTCAGCCATGGGGCTTTATGGCAGGAGCTTTGTATAATGCAAGAACAGGTTAGAGACCTCACTCTGTCACCTATTTAGCTACCTGGCGTTGCATAGATTATTTGACCTCTGGGCTTATAAAGGGGAACAATAATACCTACTCAGGGTTTTTTCCAAACAAAAGACAGGCACACGGTAGGGCTTTTCCGTCTTTCTGCACGTCATAGCTGGGCATACCTTTCCTAATTCAGAGTGCAAAAGCACTAACACTAAAAAACCAAAATGTAACTCTCTCTGAATCACTTGAACTGGACCTGACTGATTCCCCTGTGTGGTTTTAAATCTGTTGGGCTGTCCAAAAAGCTGGGGTTTAGCATGAACTGAATCACATCTTGTCTTGACTTAAAAGGGACTTTCACTAACTGGAGCAACTCTAGATAACACAGGGGTGGTGTGGGAGACTCAGGCCCACGGGAGAAATCACTGAAGGATCTGCAGACAATTAGCCAAGAGGAGACACTGTGGGGACATGAGAACTGCCTCCAAATACTTGAAGGGTAATGTCATATGGAAGAGAAATTAAATTTACTCTGCTTGACTCTGTAAGTGGAGACAGATTCCAATTTTATATATGGAAAACCTTTATTAAAAAATAAGATGGTCAAGGCATGATACTATCTTCGGAGGTAGGGAGGGTCCCAGTTCTAGAGGGATTCTATTAGAAGACAGCTGTCCACTCCTTGGGAGTCAGACAGGAAATTCTGTACCAGAAAAGGCTGGAGGAACTGACCTCTAGGGCTCTTTTTTCCAGGTCAGGGAGGCAGCAACCGAAGGGGCGACATAAATCCAACGTTTTGCAACAAAAATTAATGAAGAATAGCCATGAAGAGGTGCCAAGCACACACCGAAGAGCACAGGTTGTGCTAATGTGCGAACTTTAACCTTCTACAACAAAAGAATGCGGTGCCACATTAAAGACAGGGTGGAGGCTTTGGCTGCCAGAAATGAAAACATTCATACTTTATTGTATCGTATTTTACACATTCATGTAGACACAGGAGCCAAGTGAAACTGAACCAAGATCTTAGGCATCCAATTACATTTTAATTTTACCTTGTCCATCCCCTGTGATTTTGACACAAGTGATTAAAAATAAACCTGAACCTTTGACCTGCTCATTTTGTGGGACTTTTTTTCTTCTTCTTCTTTTCACCTGTAGACCTCTGCAGTTGTTAGTCAACTGCTTTTAATAGCTAAACATTAAAGCCTCTGGGAGCATAAACAGGAAGCTGGTATTTGGGTGGGAGTTCCCAGGAATTTTATACTACTGACCATGGAGGCCAAGAGAGAAAGGAAATAGGAAAAAACATTGTAAATACCTGGGTAACTAATGACCGCGCAGCTCAGCGGGCTTTTCTGAATATTTCAAGGGAAGTCTCTTGCGGGGAAACACCCTGAAAGGTTGCTGAATCCCCGGTGGCAGGAGTGCTTACTGCGCCGGTGCCGGTGGATTGGTTTCCTTGTCCCGCTGGCTACAGGACGAAAAGTGCTGCTGGAGACCTAGCCTCACGCAAGCCCAGGCGACTGCATTTGCATGCGTGGTGCAGGCTGTTCCCTGAGCACGGGGTTCCCAGGCCTCTCCAGCTCTGATTGTTCAGGATTGTAAGGCCACCTCTCTCCTTGTTCACACTGAGCGAGCCTAAGAGGATTTAGAATCAAGTGGGCACGTTTGCACGGCCTTGTTCTGAAGAGGCAGCTGGAGCCCGGGCGGCCGGCCTGGCACAGCCCACCGCGGTCCCTGAGGACAGCACTGCCCTTGGAGGGGCCGCCACGGGGGCTCCATTGTGCCGGAAGCAGGCCTTTCTCTTCTACCCAGTGTCTCTGGGCCTCCCCCTGCACCCCCGCGCAGCCCGACTCTCTCAAGCTGCCGCCTGGCTGGGCTGCACATTTCCCATGCAGAGCTGCGCGGCTCCGGGCTGGCCATCTGCACATGAGATTGACAGCAGCCCCGGAAGGTCAGCGCCTCGCCATTGCAGTCTGAACAGCAGGCCACCCAGGCCTTCCGAGCAAAACAGGGACATCTGCTCCCCTTAATTTGGAACACTGGTTCCAATTTCACCAAAGCTTCAGCGTTGTCCTCTGGCTCCCCAGGAAGAAGGGAGCTCAGAGAGAGGCCTTGCAGGTACCGAGCTCCAGGCTCCTGGGCTTCCTGGGCAGAGGAGCGGGGTGGGGGTGGGGAAACAGTCCAGTCATTTGCAGGTCCCCGGGGTGTGGTGCCATGAGGGGTGGATGGAGTGGGTACCCTGCCCAGCCCTTCGGACTCTGATGCCCACGGGCGCCGCCAAGTGCACCCTTCCCCTACTGCGCTTCCCCTGTGGTCTCTGTAAGGCCATCTATGGGCAAAATCCTGCCTGAACAGTTAGGGCATTGAAATCCATCTTGGTTCATTTCTGGGCAAAAGGATGGAAGAACTGCGCTTAAGTTGAATTTCCACCCCATGTCCTGGCTCCTGGAAAGCAGACCCTTCATTGTAGTCACCTCTGTGTCTCCAGCACCTAACAAATGTTTGGAGACTAAGCAATGCAGAAAGAAATAAGACAACCCTCACAATCACAGAGCCCACGTGGCATGACTGAAAAATACAGTAAATGTCTACATTTTTTAAATATATTACAGTAAAAGAGGCATTGCCACTGACTCCCTTGGAGATTCCCTCCCCATCTTTGAACACATGGTGCTTCTTGTCACTTTCTGAAGCAAGTCTGGAAGTCTTCTTAGTGGGTGCTGTGCACTGTGAAGTCCTGGCTGCCTGGGTGTCCTGCATAAATTCCCAGTGTTCACCCTGCACTATCATTTTAACTTTGAGAAAGAAGAGGAGCCTTCAGCATGCTAGATCTGGTGGCTGCCTTGGCTGAGAACATAGGTCTTGTCCTCATCTACCACGCTTTCCTGTGGATGGTACTCTGCAGCAGCACTCACTATATTTTTTTTATATAACTTTACTATTTATTTATTTATTTTTCATAATTTTATTGATAAACAGCAATGAGACAGTTGCAAATCAAATCGCAGTCTATATTTCTAAAACACTGAAAAGAGGACTTTCAGGGCTGGCCAGATAGCTCAGCAGACTAAAGCTCCGGACTAGGCCAAGGGGTGCTGGCTCTGCCCCCAGGGTGTGATGAGACAGCCACTGAGACTGGGCGTGGTGGCGCACGCCTGTAATCCCAGTGCTTGGGAGGCTGAAAACAGGAGAATCACTATGAGTCTGATCTACACAGTGAGATCCTGTAGACCCTATCTTAAATATAATCATAATAATAAAAAAAAAGACTTTGAGAATGGCAGGCAGAGTGGCAAGAATGATGCATGTGTTCGAAGAAAAAGGTTGTATGGGGGGGTATTGGCAATGTTTTTTACTGTAATAAAATTTTAAACAGTTGTCACAAACTGTGATTACTCCTACCCTGTGTGTGTGTGTGTGTGTGTGTGTGTGTGCGCGCGCGCGCACCAGGACTGTGCCTGTTCTACTCTGGTTACCAAGGAGGACCACTTGGGAAAAAGTGGACATGGTTTAGAATTCATTGTCTGGTGATAGTCTGCAGTGTGGTGATTTAGAAACTGCCTTCTGCCAAGTGAGCAGGAGTCTGGTGCTCCTCAAAGTGGGTTAACCTGACAAATGGGGGTTTTAGCTGCAGATTTTGCAGAGTTTGCAATAAGCTCAGTTCACAGCAGCCTGACCCAGACTGTTGGTGTCTGAGAAGCATCTAGTAGCATTTGCAACTGGGGAGGGCGATTAAACTAAATAGTAACTTTGTGCACCATTTCTCCCAATTCTTTCCAGGCCCTGGGAGGTGGAAGCAGCCTAGAGGAGAGCTACACAAGAATAATTTGCACTAATGAAGGTAGGCTCCTTCCCCTTAGATTCTTTGTTATGCTGTGGGACAAGTTTGTTTTGTTGCTTAACACTGGAGAAGTAGATTACAAAGGCGCAGTAGGCCCCACCCCCTTCATCTGCAGGGAATACATTGCAGGACCTCTGTTGATACTGAGCAGCAACTCCACACAGTATTTTGTCCTGTATTCAAATACCTATGATGACATTCACTTTATACATTTGGCACAGTTAGAGTAAAAATAATAATAAAATAGAACAATTATAACACACTGTAATAAATGTTGTTTAAAATGCGTGAAGTACTTATTTCTGGAATTTTCCATTTAATATATTCAAACTGTGGTCAACAATAGTAAATCAAAGCAAGTAAAAGAGGTATTAGACACAATACTTGATGAAATTAAAAAAAAAAAAAAAGAGGTATTAGGGTAAGAAGAATAACCCTGCCCCCAACACTTGGGCATTCAGAGGAAGACTTTGAAACAGGGAGGGCACAGCCTCTGAATATGGGCCCAGGCTACTGCGGTGTGACCCAGAAGCGAACTCTCCTTGGCTTCTCTGCTTCTGAGACACTGTGACCTGAGCGGGTTTCTTCTGCCCAGGTCCTTCCACCAGGCCCTACCAGGAACTATAGATAGTAATCATGAACCGAAATACACCTCTCCTCCTTTAAGTTATGGATACCAGGTATTCATCCCAGTGAAGAGGCCTAAGATATGGCACTACTCTATAGTATTGTCTGAGTTTGGATCCAGCACTACCGTTTCTTCAATTTATGGTTTGGAAGGCAATCCTTGGCATCTCTGGACCTCAGATATTTCATTTGTAAATAGAGACAATAATGTCTAACTTAATAGTTAAGATTTAAAAATGCTCTTTTATCTGTTTAGAATTCTCTGAAGCACAAATTTCATTTAAATGCTAATAACTGGGGCTGAGGAGATAGCTCAGTGCCTTAACGTAAGTGCCTGCCTGTCAAGTGCAGGGTCCTGAGTTTGGACCCCTAGTACTAAAATAAAAAATAAATGCTAATAATTGATTAGAATTCAATTTATAATATATAATAGGATAAATTATCTAATTAAGGCTGGTATTAGTAGAGAGGGATCACAGAACACTGAAGCTTGCAAACTGGCTCTTCTTTGCTGGCTGTCTTTGAGCTTCAACAAAACATTCTTCACCATTACTGTTGTTTTTCCAGCTTGAAGGGTTCTGGTTTTTTAAGAGCATTTCTTGAGCATGTCCTCTAAGTTCATGTTGTGATTTCATTATACTTTATTCTCCAAGAGACAAGTGGCGCAGCTGTACATGAAGATTCAAAACACTGCCTCGAGGCAGTTCTCGCACTGCAGGTTTAGTAGCCAGTGGCAGAGTTCTTTGTAATCTAGAGAACAGCATTACTGTGAGCAGTAGGAACCTGCTTACCACAGAGCAGTGAGTAGGATCTTCCCTCATTTACTGGAGCTTAATTTGATCTTGAAAGAATCACAGTGGAGTCTCAAAGAAGAAAACTTTTCAGGAACCCTGTTGGAGTGCAGTGTGAAAATTTACAGCATTTTAAAACCACACCTAACCTGCCCTGCCTAAGAGGATCTGCTTCTGGAAAGCCTGTGGTGGCCTGAGGGAGACTGTGGGAGTGGCTTCTCACCTAGGTGTGTACAATGCAGTCTTATCCCTTCCACTCTTTACTGAGTAGGACATAAACTCGGGCAGCATTTGCTAGATGAGACATTCGGAGTAAATCTGTTCTTAGAACCTCTGACTCTCACTTCCACTTGGGAAGCAAATAACAAATTTTGCAAATGTTGGCTGTGTTTGGAGACAAACTCTTGATGCCCAGGGCAGTGCTTGGCACAAATGTTGGGACATCATGTGACTCTTATAGGGTTTTTAACTTATGAACCAGCAATTCACCAATGACCTTAAAAAGACCCTTTTAAAGACCCAAGCCACCTCCCACCTGGAGTGCGCTCCCAGCACCTTTGCATACCACCTCAATGCCTTTTGGTGTTCTTTGCCCCTTGTTTCAGCCCCTGATGCGGGATCTCAGCATCTTCCCATAGGTGTGGGCTAATAGGACCTTGCCTCCCATCTATACCCACACCTCTGCTGGAACTTCCAGTCTCCTTGGAACTTCTCTGAGTTCTATGGAGTCCATGGCAAGAACATTTC